GTCAATAAGTCACTTTAACTCATATCATTTAACATGAACCAATAACACCATTACCTAGCTAACTGGAATTTGTTAACTGACAAGCTGTTTTTAGAAAGATATCAAAAGTATTCAGTCACCATAATTAAACCACATCTCTAAATAAAAAAATACGCTGTAGATGAACATTTTAGATGAAACAACTGTTTAAAATCAAATACTAAGGAAAACTGTGACTCTGAAATACGAGTATCTCAAACAATAACCACTTGTTAGCAATGATAGACTTCTCTTTTTGTATCTCAGTAAAAATCAACAACAGATTTTCACTATTTTCAAATCTTGTATGGATAAAATAAATTAAAGAATCTTATTCCATTGAGTAACACGTTTTAAAGTATGTTACAATGATTTTTCTTTATTAGATCCGTATTTTCACCCTACTCAAACTGTTAAGTATAAACCACATAATTATAGCACAATACAATCTGGTTTTCTTCCCATTCTTGCACGTTGAGTTCTTAGAATGTCGTAATAATAATAATAAACAAATGAAAACCCAGCTCAATAGTTTATTTCTAAAACAACATATCACAGGAACCATTTCAAAATATAGGTCTCATCGATATTCATTAATTTTAATGTCATTCTAATGTTAAATGGTTTATCATTGAGATTGTTTGCTTTAAATAGTGAAAATGAATAAAGAAAATAAATATACTAATGAAATGAAAACATATTATAAAATATTCAGTACAGAGAAAAGACAAAGGGGATGTTCACTGCACAATAACAATATTAAAAAATAATTTTATTTGCATGATAGATTCAAAGCTAATAAACCGTGTATATGTTAAATGAATAACATTCATACTATTATTTAACTAAGAAGAACATAGGACAATATCTTCGAAATATATCTATGAAAATTTCCCTAGCAACATTATTGAAACAAAAATGTGAATCAATCAAAAAGTTTGAATTCAGGTACATCTATCCTCCAACAGAATTAATTTTTTAAACAATCACATTTACAATCAAATGAATGATTTTGAAAGGAAGAAAAATCCATAATATTAGACTCCATAGAGATAATTTTGAATTCCATATTTCAAGCTTGAACTTTATGTAAAAGGATTAAATGCTACCTTTTACACCCTAGAATAATTCGAATATACTGTTTAGTTTTTCATACCTTATAATAAGTTATTATTAATTTATTGACCTATTTACTTACCTTTTAATTAGCTATTGTTACCAATTCACAGTTTGATTATTTTTCTTCAGACAGGTTTCTGTCATTTTCAATGAGTTATTATATGTTACATTGATTAATTATTTATACTATTGGACGACTTTAGTAGATATAGTGAAAATGCCCGTTTCGACGTTTGGTAAATAAAGAAATAACGAATCAAGCGGAGAATTTTTTCTCAATTGGTTTTTCTCCCAATTACTCAATGTTAATTTATAATCGAAATGTCATTATGTAATTATTACGTATTATTTCATTATTGTAAATCATATATATATATATATATATTAGTGTAGAGCCATGACGAAAAACTAATTCAAAAGAAATTTCTTCGCTCGATTCGTTCGTTCCTGATTTCAGTAAACGATATTGTTTAAAGTAAAATTTTCTTTGCTAAATAGTCTATATCTTTTTGAACCAAAGAATAATTGAGATGATAGGAATATTCACATTTTACTAGTTATAATGTGTTATATTCTGAAGTGTATATTTTTCATATTAGCCATCTTTGGAGTAGATATAGTAAATCATAAAGTGATATATTGCTATCAAATTTCATCTAAGACGTTATTTAACTAAAACTATGACTAAACTATCTCAGCATAATGTCTATCTTATTTGTGAATTTCATATTATACACCTTCAGTTCCTATGAAAACTTTCACATGGAGAAGAACACATATTACCGGGGTATTTAACTCTAAAACATTCTCAGTAATAATCAATACAAAATGTTGTAAACTTTTCATTAAGATCTGTGAATACACTATGAGACCAATATGTACAATCATAAGTCTCAAATAAGAAAACGATTCCATTATTACATTGTTTTTACAGCTCGGAAATAAGTGTTCTAACGGGTTAATTAAATTATTAAGACTACTGAAATCAATATTCTAATCATTGATAATTTGAATTTAAACAGTGATTGTCATAAACATTAAATATTATCCAGTTGATCACAGACTATTTTACGTTTTAAACAGTTTACTTTGTAGGAAAAATTATTCCCAAAACTATTCAATCTAAATAATATATACCCATCAATATGAATAAATTTATTATACTTCTTTTGATTCTGTCACATAATCTGAATAGACAAGCATTACGTCAGTTTATAAATGAACTCGTTTTTAGTCGAACGGAGATACAGATATGAATAAAATCAGAATATTTGAAAACATTTGTTAATTAACAAAGCCTACAATAGAGAAGTTTTATCTGGACAATCTAATACTATATATATACATGACTGTCACGTTAAATCAAACGTTTTATCAACTGATGACAAATTGGATGATGAAACGCTAATCGAATAATTCAGTATGTAAAATAAGGGTTGTCATAATTTAAAGAGAAATATTTAAGTATAAGTGTAACGTGATTGTCATAAATACGTTAACATATGTCATATTTATTTGCATAAGTATCAGAAAAGATATCCCTTAATGTCTACCAACAGTAACAAAGTGTTTTGCGTAATTATATGTCAAAACAGATTGTTATGTAAATGTTAGTTTACTTTAAAACTAGTATATTTGATAAGTTTTATTTCGTTATTATCCCTTCTAACAGTATTAACATCATCAATAAGCTTTCCAAGTAACTAATATCACTATACAAAATATATTTTGCAAACAATTTGTCCACGGTAATTCAAAAGATTTGAAGTTTTTTAGACCGCAGTGTTTCTACACCAAAAAAACGTTTAAACTTAGTAGTCTATGATTTTAAAAAATGATAATGGTTGTAAAACTAGAACTGCTAAAAAAAGTGAATAGATTATATATCATTAAATTAACTAGTATACTAAAAATGACTATGACAAGAAACAGTGAATCGACGAATGGTTATTTAAATTGTATTCAAGGTCAACTAAGTTTCAGAAATAAATAAACCACAAATTCAGTCAACGTTGAAATGAAGTTTTGTTTCAATAAACTAGAATTTATTTGAATATATTATCAACGAAAAACAATCGTATTTTTGTTCCGCATCAACAATTGAGAAAGTAGCTAAAAATAACTGTTTATCAAGTTAACAATTAAGTGATCATGGTGGCTTTTTTACAGAAATAAAAGCTGATGTTTGAACCTTTGGGTACGAGTCTTACATAGAATCAAACGTGTATTCTGTAATCCACTATCAACCAAAATCTTTATTTGCTAAATAGAAACTGGCTTTACAACGTCTCAATCATTAGCTATTATATCCTCATGTCATCTACAGTTACTATTGAACCTAAATATAACGCTACTTCCAACGTTGTTAGCCTTTTTGTCCATATTATTCCAAGATAGAATCTAAAACAAGCCGAATATTCACTGAACAAATAGTATATAAAATTCGAAAACAATATGTAAATGAATTATAACAGATGAAATATGATAGCAAAGTCAGAAAACTTTTTGAGTTTCAGAAGCTCAGAAAACCAAGTATTCACTTCTTGATTCAATATTTAAGAAAGATAGTTTATCCTTTATGACAATCAATGCCAATAATTTTTTAACTCTCAACTTTTAATAAACCATCGGTTTAATCTTACGGAATCGCCTACTTGACACTTGTGATTAAAGGTAAATGTCTTTTTTCTTTAATTTTGAACGTATAACTTTATTAATACATTAGTGGATATAGTTTCTCATACAATACTTATTTTGTTAAACTTATACTCTTTAGCTTTCCTGAAAAGTTTGTTTAAGTGAAATAAATACTAATTTTATGGATAATTAAATATAAAACAATTTGTGAAGTTTGAATACTAATTTTGCACTTGTCAAAAGAAAACAGTACTTTTGTCTTGTTATATCACGCTAAACATTCCATTTAGGCATATCAATATCTTAATTGCTTTTATAAATTGAAACCTAGTACTTTCATCTGAACTATTGAGATCTAAGATTATTCATAATGACTTTTCTTTAATAACAGAAATATGTATTGTTGTTAGTAACTGCAACAACTCACAGGTAAATTAGACAGAATATGTACTTAATAATATTCACTTTATTTACAATCCAACTTACAGTATTTATCTACCTATATTTTGAGCTATAAAATTAAATGTAAATCACTTATAAGACGAATCTAAACTTAATTGATCGATTAGTTACTAAGAATTAAAAAGAGAGAAAAACACTTGAGTGGAGTTGTATGATGATCAAACGATTAAAATAAATTATCACTATCTTCTCTCCCTATGTAAGTTTACCATTTTAACCTTGAATATAAAACGTTCTAAACTTCAATATAATACACATTAAGTCAATATCAAGAATATGTAACCTATTTTGTGCTACATACATTTGGCAGAAATCACAAAAAATTTACAAATATTTGCTTAATCCTAACTATCAATTTAATTCAAAATTACAATCATGGAATTATATCATCAATCATTTTAACTAACAGATTGATTAAGCTTATTATTTAATTACTTCCAATTTATTCTTTTTATGTAACTCTCAGTGAACATTCAGAATGATGAATATCTCACTATGACAATTCAAAGGTAAATGAGAATTTCATGATCCAGTTTAAAAACTATTAAAAGACTTTAATGAAATAATAATAACAACTAGAATATTATTTCTTTTAAAAATAAATAATAGTATTTTAATGTAATATTCCTATTCATTAATTTGTACTTTTTCCCTCAGAAAGAAAATTGTTCTGTCGAATTCTGTCCTTATTTATCATAAATAATAATAATCATTATGACATATTATCTATTCACAAATATCATTTGCATAAATTATATACTTACGTTACTTTAAAAAGTATACTGACTTTTGTTTACTTTCCAAAAAAGAAGTATATCAATGTGTGATTAAACGTTCCTTGTTTTGTTTTGTTGTAAATTTACATAATACAGAATTAATGGTAAAAATAATCATAAATGCCACTTGTTTGTGTCATTGTTAATCAGTAGTATGTTTAATTTTGAGAGAATTTTACATTAGAATGAAAAATAATTTTCTTGTAATCTCTGTTCATAAGTTTCATATTAATTTTATTCTTTAATTCTTTATTTTTTCTCAATGTGAAACATAAAGTTGTGAACTTGAATAAAGAAAATATAAGTCATTATTACATAATATTATTGAAATTACTTCTGTAATGATATGTGTTATCATGAATGAAAGAGTGAATAAGGATATTATATTTCGATAGGTTATTATAATCTGAAAGATGATTGGTTGAAAATAAGAAAGATTCCTCTTTTTTTTCTAGTAAAATTATTTATTCTGTATTGTTCTATAAATATAAAGTTATACAAGTATAATAGAAAATGAATTGATAATTAAGTATAAATTATGACAAACATTTACTTGATTTTGGACATCAGGGAATACTGTTGGTTTTGTGTTTTATAATATTAAAGATTCCCATTGTGAAAATTAGAACAACACATATAAGCGAACAATTGTCTTCAATTAGATCGTCATCAAGCTTTACTCTAATATACTGCAATATTTGTACGAAAATCTTAAACCAATCAAGGCAATTTGGGTCAATAATCACAATGAAATAGAACAAATTTGATTAAGGGCGTAACGTTTGAGAGTCCTTCGATTTGGTTGAACTCGAGAGCGACGTAAAGATTTCCAATACAATTTTGGATACAAGTTGGTTTCTATGCACTCCTTTATAAAATCGACATTTGTCATCGCCTCACTGAGCCCTGCGCTATACTTCAGATACTTGTTGAGAACCTTTAACGCAAATGAATGCTCAGAACGTTTCAATATAATGAAAATTCCCATTTGGACATTTGGTAAATATAGAAGGAACGAATTAAGCGAAGGAATTTCTTTTCAATTAGGTTTTTATCATGGCTCTACACTAATATACATATATGATTTACGATAACGATATAATACTCATTGAGTGGATACGTTACGTAATAATTACATAATGACATTTAAATTAACATCATTTAAAAGGGCTTTCATTTTGTTTATATAGTTATTTTTATCCATGAGTACTATCCCATGTCCTTTTTCCTGTTTCGTGATTAATAAATTGTCATTAGTTTTAAGTTTTCTTAAAGCTTCTATATGTTTTTTTCGTCAAAATCCCTTTCATATTATGTCCATGATTTAGGTATTTAAAGCAACAGTCGACTAGTGTTGATTTAAATCTTGATAAGGATCTTGACCCACAGTGCCAGAATGATTTGCTCGGAAAACACCATTGAAGAAGAATTCTCTAAAATTCGGAACTTACTTAGTACAAATGGGTACCCTTTGGAATTCATTGACAAACACATGATGGAGATGAAACCAAAGGCGAAGATACCCACGGTCCCTAAGAAGGTACTATTCATAAAATTATAATACATAAATGATACTACTGAAGAGATCGTGACTCAGAAACTAAGAACAGCTGTACAAAAAACATTTAATGCAGCCAAACCGAATGCTATCTTTTACAACTACCCCAAAATAAGAACGACCAATAAAGACTGACTCCCTAAATTCGCCAAATCTATGTGTATCTATCGGTTCAACTGCTCCTGTGGAGCCAGTTATATAGGGCATACAATTCTGCAAGTTCGTCACCATATTACAGAACATCATCCGTCGTGGTTAAATAAAGGACAGGTAGAAGTGATTAAAAGTTCTATTCTCGCTCACTTGGTTGACACAGGTCACCAAGTTGAATTGAATAAAGCTTTAAGGTTATCTACCATATCCCATCAAATATACCACATGGTTTACGAGTGCTCCTTTTGCAGATTACGGAAGCCATCGCAATCCATGTTCACAAACCTGACCTTTGCATTCAAAAGAAATTTGTTCAACCTTTTTCGCTACCTTGGCAATCGGTATAACATTCCCTTCAACAAAACTATTTTCCATACTTCTCACATCTGAGTTTTTTTTTTAACTTTATAATTTCTCAACATTCATCTCTTCATTCTGACGTAACTACTATTCTATTGACCATTCATTACAAATTCTGTTCCTTCTCTATTTCATATATTATGCAACGTAGCAACTTCTTGATTTAATAATTACTTTGAATATTAATAATCATCTTTCTTCCAAACTACGCGATGTTAATTTAAATGTCATTATGTAATTATTACGTAACGTATCCACTCAATGAGTATTATATCGTTATCGTAAATCATATATGTATATTAGTGTAGAGCCATGATAAAAACCTAATTGAAAAGAAATTTCTTCGCTTAATTCGTTCCTTCTATATTTACCAAATGTGCAAATGGGAATTTTCACTATATTGAAACGTTCTGAGAATTCATTTGCGTTAAAGGTTCTCAACAAGTATCTGAAGTATAGCGCAGGGCTCAGTGAGGCGATGACAAATGTCGATTTTATAAAGGAGTGCATAGAAACCAACTTGTATCCAAAATTGTATTGGAAATCTTTACGTCGCTCTCGAGTTCAACCAAATCGAAGGACTCTCAAACGTTACGCCCTTAATCAAATTTGTTCTATTTCATTGTGATTATTGACCCAAATTGCCTTGATTGGTTTAAGATTTTCGTACAAATATTGCAGTATATTAGAGTAAAGCTTGATGACGATCTAATTGAAGACAATTGTTCGCTTATATGTGTTGTTCTAGTTTGTGTTTTATGTATGTTTAAAAATAAATTATAAATGAATGAAATACAGTATTTCATATGACTTTAAATGTTGAAATAAATTTTAAGAGGACCATTATGGTACATTTTTTATAATAGACTTTCAAATTTCAGTAGTTATTTGGCATTCTTTAACATAAAATAATTATGTTCATATATTAAAAATATAGATTCGAATGCATTGTACTCAAATTTATAATCTGATATATTATTGAAACGTTATCTTGCTAACAAGTTTTAACTAGCATGAGATCAGGATCTAAGATTTCCTTGAATTTACCTCCAGTCACCTAAAATCTCAATGAAGCCTATGAGATATCGAATCACTTAGACTAGTGAGTGAATTGTAAGTTAATCTATAGAATCTGAACAGTGGTATATTACTTCATAAACGTTACGTGGGTTATTAATATTTGTTCATTCAACTGTATTTTGCAATCTCTAGAACAACAGTTTAAGCAAACTATACTCGCATATGAATAAAATTACCAAAGAATAGACTGGCAAATAAAATATGTCAATTTTTATAAATAACTCAACAGTTCATTTTATTTTAAACATACGAATTCCGACGTTCAACCTACATAATGTAGATCAAAGTATGCATTAACTAAGGTCCATTAATGATCACATAAACTCATATTAATTAGTTTTCATTAGCTTATTATTATAAGTTATAGAACTAATCAGCATGAATTCAGTAAGAATGAAATGACCATGTTATAAATAATATAAAAAAGGTTTTTAGACTAACCATTTATATTCATTCTACTTATTAATGCCTATAAAATTATCCAATAGTAGAAATTTGATGAATAGGTATTTTGGAGAAACGAATATGTTTGCAAGCAAAGATGGATAGTGGCTAGCAGTGGAATCCAAGATGCGCGGTTCGTCCTATTTGGGACTCCTTAGTTGAATGTACGTGCATACCAGAATTGATGTTCAATCCAGGACTAGAACCTAACGACTTTCACCTCAAACGCCATCGTGTTATCCACTTAGCTACAATCGGAAGATATAAGCAAATAACACCAAGTAAATTTGATTCTGTTTGTAGATGACATTTTTCTAACAGTTACTTAATTGTTACTCTGTTCGAAAACTAAAAATTTAGATTTCCTGAGTACAACACCTTCTAGAATGAGTAGTCTTCAGTCGAAACTTTTGGGGTTTATTAGTCAATGAAATCAATAAATAGTAGGGTCATCGTTAGAATTACGATAAACAACAAAACTCCCATGTTACACTAGATCATGTCGTAAAATTTTTATATGTTCAATTATACATAAAACTCATTTCTCTGGTTACATGACAATGATATTCTTCCTAATACATCTAAATGAGAAATTCATGATTTGGAAATTTTCTTAAACTTTATTCATTTATCTTTTGTTTCAATTATTTTCTTATGCTAACAAATATACATGAAATTTCAAGGAGAAATTTCTTAAAATTAACAAACACCCAAAACCATGGAACTAATTCTACAAGATGACATCAACGATACACAGAAAATGTATAAAACTACAAAAAAATTACTCTCTTTCAGATCAATTAATGATCCTCAGAAAGTGTACTCCTGATTAGATGGGAAGAATAATGATCAAAATAATTCAATTTAATCTCAGGTTACTTTTACTCAACCAAATAATTTACAATCGTTTAGTCAAGAAAAACAAATTGAAAACGTCAAGAATTATTTATAATATTTCCAGTTAAGAATGACAATGGTTAATATTCATAATGATGATTAATTAACTTCTCGAAGGTGATCGACTGATAAACTATCGATCTATTTCTTTTCAAACTAGTATTTAAGTACTTGAATACAAAGTTCTGCTTAGTAAAAAAATTTAATGTCACTATGAAATCTATTTGTGAACATCTTGATAATCTTTTTTATCAAATTTTAATAAAACATTTTGTTCAGTGTGGTGATGCTGAACTTACCTATTTTATTTATCTAAATATATTTTCTAGTTATTCACTCGAGTAGACGTTAACCTGAAAATAACTGATTCACACGTTTTCATTTTGTGTTACTCTTTTGAACTATTCCAGTTAAACAGGCATTTATGTCAAGGTAGACTAGCATTTTCGAAATATGGCGATGTATGGTTTTTTTTGGCTAAATTCACGATATTACTGACTTTGCATTTATTAGGGTCATATGTTGGGAGTTTTTCGGATAGATATTATTTATGATAATTTTATATATTATCCATCAGTCATAACTTCACTAAGTAGTATCTGAAACTAAATCAACAGAAGACAGTGAGAATATCTTATAGATTTTTGCTTCAAAGTCTTGCATGCTAGAAAATTTTAAGTTTAGTGAAAAGCGATTTAAATATAGTACGAATTACAACTACTTCT